CCCCTGCCCCGCTCCACTGCTCCCCTACACTCCCGCCGCGCCGTTTTCAGCCCCCCGCGCTTCACTATGATCAGCCTCTCCCCATCCGCATTTATCTCGTACACCGATGCCACCCGCCGTCTAGACATCATCTGGCACATCGCGACCCCCAAACTAGTACACTCACCCAAGGGCCCAATTTTTTGGGGGTAATCAAAGGAGCCCACTTTCTCAGTTTACCCCCCCCCCACCCCCCCCCCCAAAAGGGAAAAAACACAACGAAATACGAAAACCGACTCCCTCGGACGATGACACGCGGCGACCACAAGCCCGATAGATCGCGATGATGACCCAAGACTTAGACTTCGATTTTGACGACCAATTCTGCGAGACCCAGATGCCCCAACAGAAGAGAGGAGGTGCACGTAAATCGCGATGGCGGAAGAGAGACACGCTTCCACGGCTGACTCGTCCGCCTACCGCTATACGGAGTCGGGATGTGCTCTCGATGATGATGAGGATGAGGATGAGGATGAGGATGAGGATGATGATGATGATGAGGAGGAGGAGGAGAATGTCACAAGGTAACAATCACCCACCTTTGCTCTCCTCTTCCCACCTCGTGTGTCAAACCAACCGTTGATCCCCGCCCCCTTACGTCAACAACAATTCGAGAAACATTGTGGAAAACGACGAAAGCAGAGACGAGATGGCGGGAGAGGAGAGAGGAAGGGAGAGAGAATGAAAAGGAGAAAAGAAGCAGAGAGAGGCAGAAAGAGAGGTTAGAGAGGATTCCAGGTTCAATAAACGTCAAGGAAGAGGGTCTAACTCCTTACCACCCCGGACAAGTGTATCACACCTCATCGACTTGGGCGATCCATCGAGCATAAACATCCTCCCTTCGAGCCGCTCGCGTCGTGTGTGTGCCGTTTTGAACACTCCGCCGGCGTAGATTTCCACCCCACACGAGTGTGCGTTTCGGCTCATCTAGAGCGGAGCGGATTAAGACGACGAGAACAAGAAACTGCACCAAAAGAGCGGCGGACTAGGGGGTGAACACTCCGCCGTCAGCCAACTCGTGACAGCGCAGCGTCTAAATTGCCGCCCCTACTTTGACATTACTTAACAGGAGAAAAAAATCTCCCTCCTTCTCCGTGTGTGTGTGTGTGTGTGTGTGTGTGTGTGTGTGTGTGTGTGTGTGTGTGTGTGACTTTGTTCAACAGCGCTCTTTCAAAGATGCACTGAAACGCAATCTAAAGAGGGATCCCGTCCCTCCTCTGGAAACGCTTGTTTTTCACAACCGAATTCACAGTCGGTATCTGGACTCCTATGAGCGGATAGGGAGCAAAATTACCTGCCAGTCCCTTTCTCCTTCTGGGAGGGAGAGAAATTTTCCTCCTTGCCCTTCCTTAAACGTAGCCCCCCAGTTCATAGACCCCCCCTTCCCTTCCGCCCGCAAAACCCTCCCCCCCTCCCCTTCTCCTCAGACCGCAACAGCAGAGAAACCGTGAAGGATAAGATTAGCCTCTCAAAGAAATGGTACTCGCTCTTGAAACGATATTCACTCTCGACGATCTTCTTCAAAGATCTCACCTGAGAATCCAATCAACCGATCGATTGCTCAAGTCCATAAATGGGTAGATGGAATGACGGGCACTTCGCTATAATTGCCAAGTGTCTTCTCGCTATTACTGTAATTGACGCTTAATTGGTTCTATGTCCAACAAAAACACAAAATGCTCAGATCCGCAACCTCGAAAAACCCAGCTTTAATAGGGCTACCTACCCCTCGGGTATTGTGCGGCTGGGTGGCAATCTGGGCTACCTACCCCTCGGAAATTGTGCGGCTGGGTGTGAATCTGCTCTTACCCGTCGATTACAGCTAAGGAGGAGGAGCCTGTGAACCAGAGGGAAAAGTGCGCCTTGTCTTGCCTGCCGCAACAGCTGTTGTTTCTTTTTTTTTCTTTTTTTTTTTTTTTACCGTCGCCTCAAAAAATTGACCAACTGCGCAGTCGCTCTCGCGCGCGCGCTCGCTAGCTCGCTCTCCCTCTCACTTTCCCTTTGCTCACACGTCGCCCACGATTTCAAATGCCAGCATCCCCCACAATATTCGGAGATCAACAGCGGAAAAGTTCTTCACTCGACCAGTCTCCGGGTCCCTCTTCCCCCCCCCTCCTCCCCCCTGTTTCTCTCGCCCGCTCGCACGATCGCAGTTGCGCACAGAGACAGCCCCTACACTGCTTCCAAATCAGGCAACCATGACTAATTACTTGAGCGATCAGTTACTGCCGCCGCAGCCTCCCCGCGTCCGCGCCTTTGCTTTGCGCGCTTCGTCACCCGCGCCTCGCCTCGCCGCGCCGCCACACTCCCCCCGGCCCAACCCCCCCCCCGCCAGGCCCTCCGTTGACGCCGCGGTCACCGCTCCCGGATTGCCGCCGTCTCTCTCAGGCCCACCACCTCACTCTCCCCTTCTCCCCTTCTCTACGCGCTGGCATCCAAGACTTGTGCGCCCCGAATCCTCGGTAATGCGAGTGGAATGGACGGCCAACTCGCTCTTCTACAAAACACTGCCACGTGCTGCGGCTGGAAAACCCGCCAGTCACCCGCCTCTCTCCCCCGACAGCCTTTCATAACCGTCGCTCTGGCGCCCAGAGAGCGCCCACCCACAACCTACCTCTGTTTCACCTCCGCAGTTCTGTTACCACATCGATGCGCGTCGTATACTCCCCCCCACTGTCTCGATCGCTCGTCCGTCTATTTCCTACAAAAGAGCCGATTCACATAGGTACGTGACCACCTCTCTCTCTCTGCCTCTCTCTATCTATCTATCTATCTATCTATCTATCTATCTTTTTCAAAGCGAATGTGCTGGTCTTAAAGACATCATCTCGTCAGGAACGACGCCATGACGCACGATGACAACGACGCGGAGGAGGAATCAATCTGTCTGTCGAGCGAACAAACTCAAGCAAATACCTCGCATACGCGGCCTCCTGAACCAGACGGATGCCTCACACTCACGCGTCGCGCACCTCACACTCACAGCTGCGCGTTCGATTCCTTGTGCAGTCATTAAGTTACATGATGCGCAATCGTGGACCTCAGTTCACTCACAAGCAATCTCTCTCTCTCCTTGTAGATTTGCCTTCATTTCGCGCACGCATTCCAACACAGACATTAACGGGACTCGTGAATGCTCTTCGCTTCTTGCTCGCATGCTCGCTCAGAAGCACACCGTGATTCGCACACCGAACAGCAGGGGATAAGACCCACAACAACACTACGGTAGGGGACTACGGCGGGAGAGGCCGTCACTTCAATTTCCATGCAGAGATACGAACGGAGGCCCGACGGCCAGACTCCTCCGCCCGAGTCCCGTTCAGCCTCCGCCTGGGCTTCTGCCTGCGCACGCTGTGTTCGACGGTGCGATCAATTCTACAACTGTCCCGGCGATCGCAAAACAAAGCATTAAAAAAAAAATGCGCAAGCGTCTGAGTCCCCCGGCCAGTCGCTTCCCCTTGTTCCCAGTCCGCAGGTCGTCTCGTCCGCCTCCCGACGCACCTCTCTCGCGCCCCCGTCGCGCCCCCGCCGCGCCCCCGCCGCGACACGCCGCGACAAGCCGCCTCCTCGATCTCCAGGCTGCTTGCTCGGCCTCGTCTCGCCTCGCCTTTGTATCTCGGCCTCGTCTCGCCTCGCCTTTGTATCTCGGCCTCGTCTCGCCTCGCCTTGGGCTAGGTCCCACTTACGACGAATTAAGAGATATTGACCGTAGATAGCAAAGATCAACGGCCATAATCTCTTAATCCGTGCAAGTGGGACCTCGTCTCGCCTCGCCTTGTCTCTCCGGCTAAGGGCCTACTACTGGTAGTTGCACTACTCGCCACCCACCAACATCTCGAATGCATCTGGACAAAAATGAGATCAGATGCATTCAAAATGAAAGGGCCTACGTCCCACTGGTAGCCTGGGTTTCGTCTCCCTTTCCACTATTTTTCAACGTGGCCACAGTGCAGTGCACTGCAGGCAGCAGATATTCCGGGTCGGATGGCAAGGCAAGACCCAAATGTGCGTACTCGAAACCCAAACCCTCCCAGACGAGCAAGTCCTTTACTACCTGGGTTCGTGTGCAGTTCTTCCCGAACCCAAAATGGGCAGACACGTGGCTACCCTCCCAGATGAAAGGAAAGTCTTGTTGCATATCTCTTTCATGTCTATTCAAGAAATATCGGCCTCTTTCGAAAATTGGTGTTCAATGCAGATATACTGGATTCCCCTACACGACGTAGTGCAACACAGAAGCGACTCGCTCTCTTCAATCCGACTTTACATGGATCTCTCTGCTAAAGAGATAGCGATCTGGCTAGAGAGAATAGAGGCTTCAACACTACTGTCCTCTGAGGTGTTTTTTGGCCATGTTTCACAGGGGGGGCTCCCCCTGGGACAACCAGGCAATGTGCCGAGCACCATGGACAGAGGCTGTATTCCTTTCAACGAGTCCCAAATCCAAAATCCTGGGACATTGAACCTATCCAATGGTTCTGCCCAATAAGATCAGACTTCTAACTTGGAATGTCAAAGGTTTAGGGGATACTAATGATAGAAATAAGTCGAGGTTACTATCCCGGTTCCACTCCATGAATGCTCAGATCATAGGCCTTCAGGAAACCAAACTGCACTCAGGTAAAATCCTAGAGATCCAAGATTGGTGGCCAGGGCCTCAGATATGGGCTCCTGCAGATGGGACGAAAGGGGGAGTGGCGTTGTTAATCCATAAGGACCTCGAATGTGACATAATAGATCAGTATGCGGACCCGGGTGGGCGTTGGGCCTGGGTTAAATTGGAAATTGGCTCTGAAGAATGGGCGGTAATGACAGTCTATGCCCCCGCTATTTATTCAGAGAGAACAAAATTCCTGGCCAATCTGCCAGGATGTCTACCAGAAGTAGAGAACCTGGCAGTGCTGGGGGATTGGAATACCACTCTGAATCCTGGTTTGGACTCGCCAACCCCCTCCCCGTTGAAGCATGACAGTACATTGCTCCTTTCTTTGTTGGATTCTCAATCATTAGTGGATGCATACAGAGTGATGCACCCTGAGGATCATGGTTATACGCTGCAGCGCCTCAACCAAGACGCAGGCTGGATTTCATAGCCTTGAGGGGCGACCTGTGGGATCGATGTGTATTTGCTGACTATGCGATTTCCTCTATATCTGATCATTACCCAGTGATGACTGATATAGTGGYCAAAGACTTGATTYAAAAGGCCCGCCCTCCCTTTCGGTTAAATACTGCCAATCTTAAGGATAAAGGTATAGTGGATTGGGTCAACATGCAAATGTCCCAGTGGGAAGAAGCTAAGATTCTATTTCTGTCAGACGACCACTGGGCTGAAGTCGGCCTGGGTATAATTCGTGAAGCCTTAGTGGTCTTCTCTCGTATGAAGGCACCTAACAGACAGTGGAAGGAGCAGCAGCTCCAAAGGGCAGTACAGTTAGCAGAGGCACAAATGGGACAAGATCCCTTTGCTGACTACTACTAGTCCGAAAAGAGAAAAAAGACCCTCCGTCAACTGGAATCTCTGGAGCTGCAGAAACAGTCTGAATTGATGGAATGGCTCTCTCTGAGGGGCATAGTGGGTTATGATAGAATGACAAAACTTACCTTTCATTCTTTAATTCTAAAAGCAAACCAAACCCCTGATTAGGGAACTTATTCACCCCTTTGAGATTCAGGCAACGATAGCCTAGGAGACAGCAGACATGTGCGCCTTTGCCCTTGAATACTTCCGAGATATTGTTTCCGCGAGAAGACTCTTTGACCATGTTTACTCTAATCTGTCTGAAGACTCTGATTTCTGGTACACAACTAATGTGTGTATATCATCCAATGTTAAAACAGACTTGGAAGCTCCCTTTACAGTCGTAGAACTGCACAGAGCGGTCAAGCAGATGACCCTAGGAAAATGCCCGGGGATTGATGGTATGCCGGTTGAACTGTTCCTTGCATGTTGGTCTGGCTTTGGCCCGTTTTTATGTCAGATATATAATAGGGCCTTGGCTACAAGATATCTCCCTCCGAATTTGGTCAAAGGGGTGATATCCCTTCTCTACAAAAAAGGAGACAAAAGGGAGGTCCGCAACTATCGTCCTATTTCTGTTCTAAATGTTACTTATAAGATTTTAGCTAAAGCACTTGTTATTAGACTACCTGTTGAGCTTCCCTCTTTAGTAGGCTGGGAACAAGGATCCTTTATCAGAGGCCGTTCGATTTTTGAGAACATAATGTCCACTATTCAAGCATTGAAAATTATAAGTTCAGAACGCAGGGAAGTAGCAGTATTACTACTCGACATGGAAAAAGCCTATGACAAAGTGGGGTGGGCCTTTGTTTTCACCACTCTTGTTCCCATGGGCTTTGGCACAGACTTTTTGAAGTTAGTCCATGCCATGTATGCCAACTGTAGATCTATGGTCATGGTCAATGGCCAACAGTCCGATCAATTTCCTCTGACGCGCTCTCTGAGACAAGGATGCCCTTTGGCACCTTTACTCTTTGTGTTACAGCTGGAAGTCTTGATGAACAATATTAGAAGTAACATAAATATTAGAGGGCTTCATCTCAGCCCGTCATTGCATTGGAAGGGGGGCGCCCTAGCAAACGACTTAACGGTCGCCTGCGAAAACTTCATTACCTCTCTGCAAGAATTAAGATCAGTTTTAGATGAGTATTGCCAGCTGTCCGAGGCATCAATCAACTGCAATAAGTCAGTATATTTTCTACACCCGCAGTATGAGCTCAAAGTAGATTGGGGACTGCGAATCATCCCCACGGAAAATTCCGAAAGGTTTTTGGGGGTTCAAGTTTCTCTATCAGACTGTTCTACGATGCAAGACCAACTCCTCAGTGACAGAGTTACAGCCAGAATACACGGGTGGGTTAAGAGCTATCGCCTTTCTACCTTTGGCAGAGCGTTGGTATTGTCATCTGCAGCTTTCTCTATTTTGTGGTTTCCTTTGTCGATTTGCCTGTTGGGTAAAGAGGCGTATTCTACAATAAAGAAAGTTGCAGTGAGATATATCTGGAAGCCAACAGCGGAGGCGGCTTCCATTCGCGCCAGCGCGAGGTGACGTTGCGAGGTCACCTTGCCTTCCCACGACGCGGCAGTCGAATGCAAATCTGTGTCCAAATATCTACGAGACTACGGCCATCGCCACACCACTCTCGAAATGTGCAAAAGGAGAATGAACTTCACGCTAGAACACGATCAGATGCACGCGCCACATTCACATTTTGAGAGTGGTGTGGCGACGGCCTACTGCTCTCTTTGGCGGTATCTCCTCTACCTACAGCACCGTTGCCTGTTTCCGGAGCTCTTAGGGCATTGCCACACCTCTCGAAATGTGAAATGAGAATGAACTTTCCGGCTACAACATGACCAGATGCACGCGCCACATTTTTGTCTTTTTCATTGACTTACCGTGAGGGCACGAGGGCACGGGTGCGCAGCCCGTAGTTCGTTTGTTTATGCGGTTTGGGAAGGGTAAGGTAGTGATTATGCTGTATGTATGTTTTGTCATGTTCGCTATACACAACTCGAAGAGTGTGTGTGTGGGGGGTGCCAATTGGTGCTTTATTCACGATGTTCATGGGACGTTGGACCCAGTTTCCTGCAGGTGGCGCTCCCCATCAATAGACAGGAGAATGTATTTGTGTGTGTGTGTGTGTGAGAGAGAGAGAGAGAGCGTGCATGTGTG